CCCCAAAACCCCAAAACCCCAAAACCCCAGACATTATAATTTTTACAAATATTAAAAAAGCATAAACAAAATAAAAGATAAAATGAATAAATCAATAAACTAGATAGAGGATCCCTATAATCACATACCTACTTCAAGAAATAAGGATCGAACTCTACTGCCAGTGATCAGCTCCAAATCTAAAGAGCGCTAAAACGTTAATAATTCTCTTCGTACTATGAATCAGGATCAGAACTTGAATCTGCATTTTCAGAATCCATCATCATTTCAAGGTAGCAATTAATACTAGCTGTCTTATATAAATCAGATGTCAAACTGATTTAGCAATAGAGATGAAATTTTACAGAGACAGCAATTCGAATCAAAGATTAAGCTTAATCAGTATAACTCGCCAGCTGACTACAAAAACAACTTTAAAATCAAGATTCAAAGCTCTAAAGCCTTGCAATTCAAGGAGCAGGCCAAAGTACTAGAGATAATGAATAAAATTGAAAAAGATAAAGAGCAATAATTGGAAACTCTTAAAAATTAGGATAAATCAAGGCAATTGGATTTAGATAAAAATATGAAGCCATTTCGAGATGTTAAGTCAGATATGGTATCTCTTCGAGCACAGTAATCTAAGCAAAAGGTACATTCATATAACTATCTAAAGTAGCAGCTTAAAGCTCTAGTATTCGAGAATCAATTGAGCCCTGAGGACAAAGTGAAGCTAATCAAACTGAAATAGTTAAAAAATACATCAGTTCAAAACAACTTAACCTTTGACAGCATCAGATTGAATTAATCAACCATCGAGTCAAGTAACTTAAGTGAATTAAGAAATAGAGTCAATATGACTACAATTCAGAAGCCCAAAGGTTAGAGTCTAGAGCTGCAATCTAATCAGTAGCAGCAAAAGCAAGAAAAACCTTAATTTACACATGAATTGTTACGGAGAATAAAGTAGAATTTGAATTAAAGTCAAGATAGCTACATTGGAAGCGATAGCGAAGAGAGAAAACAGAGTTTTACTAAAAGAAACAAATCATTGGCTTAAAATGTAAATGATGTCACTCAAATTAGAGGAGTTAGCATGAACTAGGTCTATGATTAGTAGGTGATAAGGTCTATGAAGATGATTTCAGATAATAAAAAATCAGAGCTTAAAAATCTACTTTGCAATTAAGGAGATAAATCCTAGTTAGATCGCATGGACTCGCAGTTGTATCAATACTTTGACCAAAATGAGAGCTAAAACACAATGAATTTTAATGGAATTTCTAAATTAGACTTAAGTAATGAAGACTATCTAAATAACAATGTGGAATATAGCTTTGTTATTAATACCTTTGAAGACTAGATAGATCTGCAAAAGTAGTACAAAGTCAAGCAGAACACTTTGTAAGGAATCAAGATAAATAAGCAATATCAAACAATGGAGAGTGTGAGATTTTTACAAGAAAATTCATCAGAGGTAAACTTTCAATTTCTACCTAGCATAAGCAGATAATAAACAAACAATCTTAAATAAAACAACATGATATCGATAGGTCATTTAGATTTAATGGCTGATAAGAATCAATACTCACCTGACAAAAATCAAGCATTCTAGAGCCATAAAATAGGTAATACTACTATGCTTCGGATATCAGAGTAAAATGGCCCAAAGCCAGTAATCAATCCAAAGAATATTGCTTAACAATTTGAGGAATTAAGGAAGTAGCTTAATCCTATATTTTCAGGGAATATGGAGTAAAATGGCATCAATTAAATAACTGAAACGGAAATAGTTAAGAAAGGGCGGAAGATGAGTAATCAGATCAAGTCCCAAATGACTGAAGATCAGTATCAACTATTATTTACTTTGAGATTCTTGTCAAATGAAAAGATTACGCAGTTATCAGACAAGAATAAGCAAATTGAGAAAGTCTAATAGGAAATATCTTAGGGGATAGCCAAGAGACTTATTAATAAAGAAAGCGTACAAAATGAGCTAGCTAAAAGACTGATAAATTGCGTGGTAAGATAGATATCTAATTCAAATGGTCCCAAGCCATCTAGCAGAGAGCAGTTTGCAATGTGTCAAGTTAAATCAAAATACTATATATTCGGTGGGATGGCTTAGTAATAATACAATGATCTGAAGTTCTTGGATACTAGCTAAATTAACAAAGTTGACTGGTTAGGGTTACTCCCAGATAATACTTCTAATCAAATCACGAGAAGGTTCGGACACACAATGCTTCCATTTAAAGATGAGGAACTTGTAATATTTGGTGGTGGAGGAAGCTACATCACTAAGATTAAGAGACGAGAAACATTCAATGATATCTACATTTACAACCTTCAAGAAAAAAAGATCTATGATCTCTATGATATGTAACAGCACTTGCATCAGTAAAACTTGAGAGGTGTATAAAAGTCAAATACCTATAATTAGGCCTAGAAGATAGATCCACCGACCAAAAGAATGGGTCATGCAGCTGCTATCCTTGGACATGCTATGGTTATTTAAGGTGGAATCTATGGAGAAGATAATAAGTTTCTAGATGATTTCGCAATGTTTGACATGATTTCTAAATAATGGTCAAGGATTAAATAATCAAAGTCATCACAATCAGTAATAGGTTGTTTGGCGTATCACACCATGACAACAGCATTCGAGTTAGAAATACCTAGACTCACCATGGATTCAAGGTTGATGTGGATTAAGACTCCACAGCAGATCTTAAACAAGGAAACCTAGACAATCAAGAACCAAGGCATCTACATCTTCGGAGGTTTGAACGACAAAAAAGAGGCTTCAAATAGCTTATATCTTCTCCAACCCTGCTATGAGAGAAATAAGAAGTACATATCGCTTAAGAACAATGGAGTCTACAAGAAGGTGCTCAAGCCTAAGATATACTTTGAATTGACTAAGATAGTCCCTGAAGGGATTCCACCCTGCTCCAGATACTTACACTCTGCTTGCTATGTGTAGGGAAGCAAAAGTTCTGGAAGCAAGGACTCTGCAGATTCTGGCATGATTGGGTATCTGGCTATATTTGGTGGTAGGAATGACTTGTTATTTAAGGAGACTGGAAACAACATCGCGTTGAACGATTTACATGTATATGATATCAAGAGAAATCTGTGGCTCACAATTGCAATCTATGGAGATATACCAATGAGTAGATGGGGTCATTAGTTGGTAAGTGGGGAAGCTGGCTCACAGTCAGAGACAAAGATGATTATATTTGGAGGCATCAACTTGTAGAGCTATTGCGACACCTCAATTTTTGAATTTGATTTTGGTAAGATCAATTTAGTCTTTTAATGTTTCAGATCAATAAGCTATTGCTAACTTTTATGAGGATATTGATGAAAAGATGAAAACTGTGAGAGATGAGCATAACATTAATTCCAACTTTGTCCTCTCCAGTAGATCTAACAGTATCAGAAAAATTTCTAAGTGATAGAATCAAGACATTATAATCACATACTGTTTGAATATTTAACGTTTATCGAAATTTTATCTTTTTATTTGAATGGGGTTTTGGGGTTTTGGGGTTTTGGGG